CAGTAAATTAAATTATTTGCAAACATGAGAAAATATCATCTAAAATTTTTCAACCCATTTAATATAGCCAATAACAACATCAACTCAACTTTAAAAGTAAAGAGAAAACTTGATTGAGGTTTGGAATTGATTGCTGTGAAGTTTTCTATAAATGTCTTCATGATCAAATCCTAAGTCTCTCTTCCTCATCAAGTTATAATTACACTCTAGTTCTAGCTTGTCTTCCTTTAAAGCAAACTTTCACAGCACAAGATGCATGTTAGACAAATTTTGTATATATTTCATTAGCTAGAATTGCTAAGATCATGCACAGTTGGCTCAAAGACACCTACATTGTAAGTAGTTACAGCAGAGGTTACCAAATCAATTAACAGAAAAAAACTCAAAAAGACACAGTGTATTTCCAGCCAGAGGACAATTATGAAACAATAATAGCCAAAAGAGAAAAGTTTGAAAAAATTTTTCAGGTTCAAACACGAGTTGAAAATCACTTTTCTTTTTTAATTTTTGACTCTAAACAGAGGAGGTTGAAACATTAGGGAAGAATGGTAAGGGCAAGCAGTCATACCTGGCAACTTCAAGAGAAGATATAAGAGAAGCCCATACAATTCTGTCATCTTGATTTACCTATTCACTGATCTCACGTGTATACTCTTCAACTGACAGGTGATGTCTTAGTATGAAGTACTTTACCATTGTTTCTTTCAATTTTGACTCATTTTCCTGAACCAAAATTATCAGTCCCGCTCAAAAGAATATAATTTCAACTATAGCTGACATTGTACACCTCATCTGAAGAAGAAAAGATTCCCTATCTTCCGAAATTTGCTCAAAACATTAGGAATCACGACAAAGGTCCTCAGCTGCTTGAAGACACCGCTAACTAATATGCGTGTTGATCGCTTTGCAAGTTGTGAGAACTTCGTCCCAGGTTCCAGACCTCGTCAATTCTTCCCTTCCCTCCCCACTCCCCGGACTGGTCCTTAAATCCCCTTGAAGAAACTCTTCCACAGCCAGTGCTGAGGAGTTTTATTACAGTTTTTATGATAATGAGGGGCTAGAAAATAAACTAACAAGAGCTCCGCTTTTAGGCTTGGCTAAATTCATATATTACTGAATTGGGAATATAATCTCTATAAGGTCAGCGACACATTTAAACTCACCTATCACTTGCACCTGAATTGCGCGGACCCAAACATCAGAATTGGAAGCAATTAACTCACAGGTAAATATTCCATTAGCCTTATCGTCTGCAGTAGTCACGGGAGAGATAAACAGAGAAGCACTTTGTGGAGTGAAGCTTCCACTGAACCGTTCTCGAAATTGATCATAAACAACACCAGTTTGTCCATTTTGATAGTTGACTATACCAGCACCATTGAATTTTAGGATAACCAGAAGTATTGAAACTGCCGTAAAATTGTAGCTCCACTTCAGTGTAGCAGGAGAACTTTCATAAAACTTTAAATTGATGGTGGGGAGTACTTCGTTTGGATCTGATGTTGTCCTAACCGGAGTAGGTTCAAACCATGTGACACTTCCGCCATCTGAAGCAGAATATTTTAGAACGCAGTTACATTACATCAATTTAGGCTTTCGATTTCATCAAAACGATAAAAGTTATCCTTCGATTTTAAATTTTAAAATAATTATACAATCTTAAAGGTACAACTAGCAGTTTCTGTCAATATAAAAGTCATCTAAATAAAGTACATTAGGCTGATGAACCTAGTTCAGACTCGAAAGAAGAAAGTAAACACAAAACAAAACAAAATCGCAGTAAAATACATTACCTGAGAGTCGTGGTAAAAGTAAAATCCATGTTAAGATAAATTTCACGTGACAAATCATTCTAGAAATGTCTTTAATGCCCAATGATGAGTGTTCTGAGCTCGGCGTAAACATCATCCCTTCAAGTAAGCGCTAAAGAGCGAACGACTTACTTTCGATAAAGTCAGGAACTAACACGAACACCGATTGGCTTTGAAGGATAAAAGTGTTTTAGACAGAGGTTCTGATTGGTTTAGGGGTACTTGGGCACGATCTGGAATGGAAAGAGCTAACAATCCTTTGGGATAAGAATAATCAAAACTTGAAACACGCTAAATTGGCTTTGCCTTCGGGGTAGATGTTGATTTTCGCATAGGAATTTCCCTGGACTGCAGTTTGAGGCATCTGCTGCAAGCCTCTTCTTCGCAAAAAGGAAAGACACACAATATGGTTTACGTAAAAAAAGCAGATCACCTCACCACCAGGAAGTTGGGGAGGTGAATTGAATCTTCTCCAGTCACCTTTTCAATTATGACGTGAAACCCCACTTCATGTGTACTCTGGCCGTTGGGCATTTTCGTTTGTTTTTCAGTATGTTGTCTTGTGGTTTAATTTCAGAGACATCCTTCTTTTTTTTTTCTTACAACTGTATATTTCACCTCTACACAATCTCTTAAATTGAAATTTTTTCTTAACTTCAAGGCGTACTATGTCAGTAAAACCTGCCCCATTTTCATTCAGAGGACAAAGAAAAAGCGTTGAGAATAGTTTGTTCTCGCAAGCATACATGTAATTTGCACTAAACTCAGAACGAAATTTTTTTTTTGGCGATTTTGAAAGAGTTGGCTGAGTTAAGGGGTGTGTGATTTTTAGTCACTTAGGGCACGTAAGATTTTATATAAGGATAAAAGATTCGTGACATATCAGTTTGTTGAGCGTGTATGGACTACACCTTACAACATGGATCATGGATATGTGCATCTTTTCCAAGTTCTCTTTAATTTTTCGCCACAACCTGACGCTACATTCCGAGACTCCAAATCCTCGTTCAGCAGCACGGTTTTCATTTTGCTTAGCAAACTGGATAATTCTGAGTTTTTCAGACACGGTGTAGCGAGGGTTGTGCAATACACCCAAACCGCTACGATTCGTCAAAGGCAGCTTGCGAATCGTTCTACTGGAAGTCGATTCGCGGTTAATGCATCTCGTAATACCGGAAATCTGATAAACCATCTCTCATTGGATGGAAACGCACACCGGAAGTCAATTTACAAGACACGTAGAAAATGTTTCGCAACTGTCAAGGATTGTTGAAAATGTTGTCGATTCGACTCGAATCGAACTCCCTCCTCTCAGTTAAAGTCGACCCGTCTTACCAGTAGTCGATTTGCAAGACACTAAGAAAATATTTTGTAAGTAGCTACTAATTGGGGTTGAAGATGTGGTCGAATCGAACGACTTCTCTCAGTTAAAGTCGATCCGTCACACCGGAAGTTGATTTTCAAGACACTTAGAAAATATTTCGGAGGTGGCCACGAAAGGGGGTTGCAGATATTGTCGAATCGAACGACTCGTCACAGTTGATGTCGACCCGTCATACCGGAGGTCAATTTGCAAGACTCTTGGAAAATATTCTGCAAGTGGCCACGAAAGGGGGTTGGAGATATTGTCAAATCGAACGACTCCTCAGGGTTGATGTCGACCCGTCATACCGGAAGTTGATTTAGAAGACACTTGGAAAGTATTCCACAAGTGACTACGAAAGGGGGTTGCAGATTTTGTCGAATCGAACGAATACCCCAATTTAAAGCTTAAGTACGTATTGTCTTCTTTTGCGCATTGACTTCCGGTGAGACGGATTGCCTTTACTAATGACGAGCCGTGTTGACCCGTACGAATCGTGTCGATTCGTCAAGAGTTAATGTCCCTGTTTAACGCTTAAGGAAGGAAGAAGGTTCATTTTGATATTTATAATATTCTAACAATGGACTTCCAGCCGTTTCACGCTTTAAGAACGTGGAAGGTTCATGTTGTCATTTTCTCTTTTCATGCTACTCATTTTCGTACATTGCTCACGCCCCTTGACTTCCGGTATGTTAACGCAGTTGTGTCGATTTGTCAACGACCGTAGACGAATCGTAGCGGTTTTGGTGTATTGGTTATATATGAACATGTATGGGCGTAGCTTTGATGTTTAGTCATGGTAAGTTTCGTTGCCATATCGAATTTCTGATCACTTGCGATTACAGTATAATACGGTGGGATTGTGATGTTTATCTCGTCACCTGTTACTTAAATACTATACTAAATTTATTCATGGCTCGAAATTGAAAATGTTTCATCGGTAGAATATTTGACTTAAGCCATTAAAAACTAATTACTACAAAGCATTTGTTACTTTCATTAGCGGATCTAGACTTAGAGTTAGGGGGGGGGGGGGGAAGCTGAGGCCCCCGGGGCCCCTTCCCTGGATCCGCCACTGACTTTCTTATAAAGTTTTTATCCTGATAAACAATAGAATCCGTCTATAATACGCACCGCAATTTTGATGGTTATTTTTATAGAAATAAAGTGCGTATTATACGTAGGTAAATATGGTTCAAGTGAATCGGGTGGCTTAGCGAAATCTATTCGTATTTTAAGTAAGTAACAATTTCAACAGACCCACAATCTTACTAAAGCTCGGTTATTCGCGCTCCAGACGGTGATTAATGAGAAAATGAACAGAAATTCTGTGAGTACTCTTTGCTAAAACGGCTTCAGAATGGCTCCATAAGCAAAGCAGAAGTAAAATGGTGACAACATCAATCCAGGAAGTCCTTGAAAACGGAACTCTTTCCGCCTCTCGCCTCTTTCGATTTTCCTCACGAAAGAAACAATTCCAAACATTTTTCCTCTATTTTATAAAGTCGTTTAGTTTATTTAAATTGAAAGCCTTCAAAAGATTCTTGGTCGTTTGTAAAACAACTCTCCAACTTAGCGTGTTTCAAGTTTTCATTTATCCTTATTTCAAAGGCTTGTTAGTTTTTTCCATTCCAGATCTTGCTGAGGCACCCTAAACCAATCAGAAGCTCTGTCTAAAACATTGTCATCATTCATAGCCAATCGCCTCTCGTGTTAGTTCCAAACACTATCGAGAAAAATTTGTTCTCTCGACATCGTTATTTTTAGAGATGATGTTTTCGCCGAGCTCAGTAAACTCATCTTTGGGCATTAAAGACATTTCTAGAATGATTTGTCACTTGAAATTTATCTTAACGTGGATTTTACTTTTACCACGACTCTCAGGTAATGTATTTTACGGCGATTTTGTTTTGTTTTGTGTTTACTTTCTTCTTTCGAGTCCGAACTAGGTTCATCAGCCTAATGTACTTTATTTAGATGACTTTTATATTGACAGAAACTGCTAGTTGTACCTTTAAGATTGTATAATTTTTTTAAATTTTAAAATCGAAGGAAATCTTTTGTTGTTTTGATGAAATGAAAGCATGAACTGATGTAATGTAACTGCGTTCTAAAATATTCTGCTTCAGATGGCGGAAGTGTCACATGGTTTGAACCTACTCCGGTTAGGACAACTTCAGATCCAAACGAAGTACTCCCCACCATCAATTTAAAGTTTTATGAGAGATCTTCTGCTACACTGAAATGGAGCTACAATTTTACGGCAGTTTCAATACTTCTGGTTATCTTAAAATTCAATGGTGCTGGTATAGTCAACTATCAAAATGGACAAACTGGTGTTGTCAGCGATCAATTTCGGGAACGGTTCAGTGGAAGCTTCACTCCACAAAGTGCTTCTCTGGTTATCTCTCCCGTGACTGCTGCTGACGATAAGGCTAACGGAACATTTACCTGTGAGTTAATTGCTTCTAATTCTGATGTTTGGGTCCGCGCAATTCAGGTGCAAGTGCTAGGTGAGTTTAAAAGTGTTGCTGGCCTTAAGAAATTCGCATTATGGTATAACTGTAATGTAGTTTAAAGTATTGTAATGCAGTATTCACTAGCTTTGTCCTTTGGACCTAGTGAAAGTGTAAACAGACCTTGTAAGACAAGAATGCTTATGTAATCTGTCAACTTTCCTTTCATCAAATTTATGTATTTATTAGAGTTGATGGTAGGGAATAACCATTAAAGTACGTTGTTGTGCATGACACGTTTAATCCATGGTAGGTTTAATGTAATACTGTACTGTTATGTAGTCATTTAGCAACGTTTGTCTTATACCATGTGAGGTCTGCAAAAGAGCAAAATATCCATTGTGACAAAACAACAAAAATGCCAAGAAAAAGATCAAAATTAGGCTTTGTCACATGATAAATAAAAAAAAGATAATCCACTAGAGGAACCCAAAACATCCTCATGCTTTCACGACGACAGTGTAACCAAACAATAAAGCAAAAAATGCTTGTGATTATGGTTAGATTACAACTTTAGCAGGAACTAGTTATGAGACTGATAATAACAGTGTTAAGGGTGATTATAAACAACTAGTGGCAAGACCTTTATTATTCTAGATATCACAAAAATGAATCTATTAATTGTTTTCTTATACATTGCACAAGGTAAAAAATGGCCAATGGTCATTGGAAGAGTTGTTGATCACTATAGATTGGAAAACTTGCATTTGTAATAGAAGATAAACGATGTTGGACAATCATCATGAGTAATCATACAAACACCATACAAACAAGTTAATTACAGCATAATCAAACTTAACAAAAAAACTGAACACAGAGACATAACATAATAGATCAAAACTGAGCAATCACAACTTTCTTCAGTTTCTTCACTCATACAGTCAATAGAGTACTTTTCATTTGGGTATCAAAAGTAGTCTGGAAGTGTTTAGCTTCTACTTTACCTCTCTTTATGATTAGTAAAGGAAACCCACCCCATAACCCAATCAATTTCAAAACTAAGACAAATTGCAACTTACTCACACTTCGAGCAATTTAACTTGTCTTTTATTTTGAGTTTTCACAAACTTAATCCCATGATATTTTCCTTTTTTTTTCCAAGTTGCTTTTCTTATATCCTTTTTTGGAAGGATTTAATTTTCTAGTTCCAAATTTAATTTGTGTTGCAGTACAGTACTATAGTTTTCTTATATCTTTGGTTTTCCTCTTAAAGTGATGATAGAGACAAATCATCATGGACATTCACTTACACTGTATATCTTGCTTCAGAAAAATTAAATATACAGAAACTTCGCAAAAAACAGAGTATAAATGAAGCATAACCACCACAAATAATGTACCAATGGATAAAATACAAAATGTTCTATCCACAAAACTTAAACTGACCAGGGCATTACCTTTCAAAAGGGAGGATGTCTCCTTGAGCCAATACATCAGGTATTAAATCCTACCACTCTAATAAAACTTCTACACAATTTTAAATAAGAGGGATATATTTTCAAGAACATTAAGGGAATTTTTGATTTTCCTGTTGTTTGCTCTGTGGTTTTCTGTGAAGTGTGCTCATCACAATTTTAATGATAAGTGTTATATCTGAGACCATTTTATTACATCAATTGTGGAAATCAGAAATACCTTACATGGTTTTTTTGGTTTGTAATTAATCTAATAAGGCTGTTAAGTTTTCAATATACCCCAGTAATATGTTTAGCAAAGACACATTTGCATAAAAAACTACACTGTACAATGAGTGGCAAAAGTCGTGGCACGCTCTATCATTTAAAAGTTTTCCTATAACCCTTCCCCACTTGAAGGTTACCTGGTGTTACAAAATAAGCAACAAACATTGTTTGAATAGGCAGGACTTGGTAGTACCTTATTAGTGATGATATGACAAGGTTTCTGTTTATTATGTCAAGTAGAGGGTTGTCAACCACCTACCTTTGCCTCTCATTAAGGGTATGGTTTTTTTTTGCTCTCAAGTTTGTAGACATGCAGTATCATGCTTTTAATGACCACATTTCAAGTTACAGTTCAGTATGCTAATAGGATACGCAAGAGCATCTTAGGGAGTCCCAGGAGACTCTTAGAAAAACCATTATTTGCAGGAAACTATCTAGCAGTTTCACATGACAGACCATGGTTCAATTCTACTGGATGTAGCAAATGTGATTTTAAGTTGTAAGTGGGTTGAACTCACTGCAGCAGCACCTCTTGATGATAGCTGGCTGCATGCTATTAAGGAAGATTGCTTAAACCACAAACCCTTTCATTTCAATGAAATTTTTTAGCCATTCCTCTTGGGATTTCTTAAATTTCTTGCTCTTACACCCAACCTCCTTTTTGGCTCACAGTGAAGGACTATTTTCCATTTTATCTTTATCCATTCACAGCCTACTTTGTTATGCAGAGGTATAGCAAAGATCACTATATGCCACTGAAACTAGGTGATGTTTTCAGGATTGAAATCAAGAAGCATAATATTTGGTTCCTGCTAAAAACATTGTGGGAGTCATTTATGGTGACATGATATAATTGGCTATTCACACTCTGGTGGGCTTTAATACCCTAAAGAAATTATTTTTTTAAATAATGTGTTTTTAAATAGTTCCTGTTGGTCTCAATCTTTATTTCTACTGAATTATTTTTTGGAAACTGCAGTTAAAAATAATAATGCTAAGTTTATTAAGCTGAGAAAAGAATTCAGAAAAGTTTCGTGGCCTTTTGAAAGTCCTCCAAATTTCTTAAGGCAGACATTTGTGCATAGTAAAGTGCTCTTAATGGATCATAATGCAGGGACTGTTCTTGTATAATTTGCACAATCATAGCATTTGAATTTCATTTGCATGTGCAAGGTGTGCAAAGAATGTATAAAAATCATGTCAACAGTATCATCTTTTTTGCAATTGTTGCTTTTGTGTGTGCATGTCATTCGATTATCCTTGATTTACTTGTTATTGTTTGATTGCTCTTAGTTCCAATAAATATCACTGGAATTAGAGGTAAACCAAGTGTTCTTGAAGGCCACAACTTGCAGTTAACCTGTGAAGTATCAGGTCGACCAGATCCAAGCATCAATTGGACCAAAGAGAATCCTGGGAACCAAGGAAATACTGTTGTGGTGCAAGGAAAGGTGCTGAATATAACAAACATCAACAGGACTGATGCAGGAAATTATACCTGTACAGCTTACAATGACTTTGGTAAACCAGACAACCGAACAGTTTATGTAAATGTTACTTGTGAGTATGCATTGAAAAAATGTTTGAATAATGTTAAACAGAGATGCACTTTCCTTTTATTTTCGGACAAGCACAAAGAGCACAAACCTTAGTTTTACTATTTCAACATCACAATTTAAAGCTCCTAACAAAACAACGACAACTTGTAATAAGATTTTAATGAGCACTGTTCCTTAATATGCGGTACAGTAAGTGTCATTTTGAAAGAGCAATGTAATGAAGAATGTTATTATTATCCTCAACAACTTAAAGAATTTTACAAGAGAAAATATCTGGTTTTATTTTCTCATCCAGAAGTTTCAATTAATTGTAATGTTTCACTACAAAAATTATGTATAATCTGCTCAAACTGTCATTTGAAGCAAACTCTCAGGGAAGATTGTAATGCGCACTATAACTTCACACAATGTCATGGATGTAAAAAGCTTAATCCTCACCAAGTTGAATCTTTTTCAACTCACAAAAGAGGACTGTCTGGCCTATCTGCTTGTGTATCCCTTCACAAGGTATATACATATTAGCAGTAATCTTAAATAATTGAATTTTGTATGTAAAAAAATAACAATATATACTTGAACCTTGGTTATTACTGTGCTATTCCAAAATAAAATCCATTTCCTCTTAAGCATTTTTACAGTTATTCAAAATTTCTTTTCAAACTTAACCTCTGCTATTTCCAATTGTCTTTAACTCTACCAATATTACATTAAACAAAAGTATATGCTTCAAATCAGCCAATACACGAATTAGCTGGCTCCAAGAGTCCTTTGATTACATCTTATCTTAATTTCTAATTTTATATACAGATCCAGCCAAGATTGTTAATTTTCAAACTCAGTATGTGGTTGGTGTAGGACAAAGTCTAACTCTTAACTGTGAAGCAGAAGGAAACCCTCCACCTACTCATAGTTGGACACCATGTAATGACTTGGAACAAGTTTGTGACAAGAACGCTCTTCATATTTCACAAGTCTGTGAAGATGCCAACTATACCTGTAATGTGGCCAATGGACTTGGAAATGATGCAAAAACTGCCAATGTTTGTAAGTTACTGTTTAGTTTAACTCATTTACTGCTTAATAGTGTGAGATTTTTTCTCTTTCTTTAAGCTGTTTTAAATTGGTAAATGTGATCTCGTAATGTTTTTTTCTTTTTCACAGTCATTGAAGGAAAGTGGATTTTTATAACTATAAACATGACTGACAAAAGCTGTGTTGATGGAAAATACAATGAATCCTTACTGTTAAATGGATTTGATAAAGTGGTAACAACTTTCATGTGTCTTTTTACTTCTACATTGGTTAAGCTCAAAATTACATACTTTTGTGTGTTAAATGCAACTGTGCGACTACATGTATGCCAATCAATTTTCATTTTCCTAGTTGTTAATTAGTGCTAGTTGCTTATGAGGTTTCTAAATTTATTGATGTGTGGGAGGTGAATGCATGCTTTGCTTCTATGCAAGCAAAATTTATGTACTCTTTTAGAGTTTGGAGATCACTCTGATTACATCACAACATTTACAAGATGGCTGGAAACTGGCTATGTTCCTTTTCGTTGTTTTTATGGACTGAGAGATTGCTTTTTCCAAATCCATCATGGACATTGTCAAAAAACTATGAACTTTTTAATTCCACTCCATACAACATGTTTCTTGAGCGGTATGTAAGCAGGCAATCCTAAGCAAGCAATAGGGCCCCACTTTGCTCACTTAGGTACATGTAGCCAATCATAACATACAGGTATTGCTTCTTATTGCCCAAGGGTACTGCCAGGGATATAATAAGTATAATTATTGGCTTCATTCATAACATGTATGTCTACTTTCAGGTAATCATGGATTTAGGTTCTTGAAGTTTCTCACTCAAATAAAGTCTCTCCTGAGCAATAAGAAATCTTTATTAGATGAGGACAGTTGTTGTCTTACTGAAAATGGTCTGTTTTAAAAGCTGATGTTAATTAGTTCTGTTTTCACAGAAGCTGTCAATAATATTTCTGACAGAAAATAAGCAAAATTGGCACATTCAACATGTTCATGAGTACACAGTATCAGGTTCATGGAAGAAATGAACCTCTCTGATTTTTTGTACTTGATACAATGTACTGCACATGTCTATTACATTTCAGTTCCAAAAGGTTTTCAGTCACTATAAAAGTATGGAAGTGAGAGATAACAGGTTTGTGAACCATTAGAATTCATTAATTTAGTTGTTCTCCTTTATAAATTGTACTTTTCCTTTCTGTTATATGTTCCACTTTAATCCAAGCTTCAGTTGTTTTCTTTCCCAAGGTGTAGTACTGTGAAGCTAGCATTGAAATTCAACTCCATCACAAACCAAACACATGTTATTACAAGTCTTCGTGATGTTGCCAAAAAAGGGCCTCTTGGAAATTTCCCTGTTTGTCCTACATGTATAAATGGGGCAGCATCTTGTGATGTTAGACCAACAACAGACTCACCAACACCTACAGGTGCCTCCAATGGTAAGTTTCATGACACCTCACTTAGATGTTCATAAGCTGGTATGTCTTACTAGATCCCATAATCCTGCCTGAAGATTACAAGCACATTTTCAGCATATTTTGACTTATACATGTATTCATTTAGAATAAATGAGACCAAAGTGACTCAAATGGTTCAATGCTCTGGTATCTGTGCGCAACATAAAAGGAACAAAAATAAGAGGCAATAGCAGTTTGAACTTGAGTTGTAGTAAGTGATTATAAATGACTGGTTTGTTTTCATAGTTGTAGAGAACCATAACTTTACAGGCTGAAACTTCCACATCATACAAGTCACCTCCTTTTTCTGATATTCTTTAATGCAATGGAGACTTTCATGTGTTATTGATATACCTTGAATGAGCACCTCCCCTTGAGTATGTGCCCTCTCCCCTTCCTATCCTCCCAGGGTTTTTGAGAGTTGTCAGTTACACACACATAGATTCTATCGGAAAGTATGTGTTTTCCATGGTATGTTGTAAGCATTGACATTTCTGTGGATGAAGATGGTGGATCTTATCAATTTAAAGGGTTCAATGGCAGGTGCTCATTTGAGGACACAGTAGTCACTCCACTATAGTTGGAAATTTTCATCTCAATTTGCAGCTGTACTTGTACATGTACTACAATTTTATATTGCTTTACAATTTTCCCATCCAAACTTGAATACACAAACGGTCACAAAAGCAAAAGCACCCTTCACATAAGAATTAGTACAAACATTTCATTGTGTACATTATGTTAGTGAATTGCCATCTTCAGTGTTTTACATTAAGTTTCGATTTGTGTTGGACACCAGTTTATACAAATAGTGTCATGCTATGATCAGGGTTTGAGCTAGTATTTGATCACTGGGGGACAATTTGTCCCCTTAGCAAAAATTTTGGAGGACATTTTCATTTTTAGGGGGACAGACAAATTAATTTTTATTCGACATTTTCTTTTTTTACATTCATTCAGGCAAGCCGACAAAAACATTTTTTTACCTGATCCTTGTAAGACTTGTAATACAAGAAAAGTGATACAAAAAAGAAAAGTTGTTATTGATGTCAAATTTCTTTTTCTCGTCATATTTAAACAGAGGATCAATGACTATGCTTTATACTTCAAAACATTACACAGCAGAATCTCGTCCCGGCATCGCCTTGTAAACTTCAATTCCTTTCTTAATCACTGGTAAACGTAAATGTACTAATTCTTCAGTTGGTTCTAGCCCAAACATCAAGGGCTGTAGAAAAGAGTTACTGCAGAGTTGAGGTTCTAAAATTTGTACACCCTTCTGCCGTTGCAAAGGGGTTTGTCTTCTTAGATTTCCGACAAAAATAGCAGAACATCGCCTCTTTTTCATAGCGCAACCATGTGTGATCTCGCAACCAAGTTTTCAGGAAAGTTCGTGATTTTTTCGGTTTCCTTCGATCCTCATTCGTTTCTTCCTGATTAATACACTGTTCTTCTTCTGTATCATTTTTCTCTGATTCACTCTGGCTTCGATTCCGAGCGAAAAAGCTTTCTAATGTTCGAACACGTTTTCGATATGACATGTTACTGCGCTTTTCACAAACATGCGAATTTTGAAGTTCAAAAGCCACCTGACGATTGCGTTTTTCGCTGCCGTCAATCATCTTAACGGAACTCTTAGGAAACAAAACTTTACTTTCACGGGTTCAAAAGGTCATGGTTTGCGATTTGTGATTGGTGGATTTCAATCCGTTTCGTGTGTTTCTGTGTTTCAAGGTTCGTTGCTTGTGATCGTAATTATGATTGAGGGCAGCGAAAAACGTAATTGTGAAGGCGGCTTTTGAACTTTTGAGTTCGCATGTTTGTGAAAAGCGTAGTAAAGATTGCCACGTGAGTTCACCACGCTTGGTTGAGCATGAGACGTACGTGTTCAGTAAAGTGTGACTGAAACGTGACTTTCCACGTTCTGTTTTAGCTTGCAATTTCTGTACCGAGATAAAACTTTTCGTGTGTGCTTCCTTTCGAGTTTTTTCCCTAAATTTTGAAGGGGACAAATTGTCTCCTTGACCGTTTTTTTAAGGGACAATTTCAATTGCAGTGCGGGATTGGCGCTATGGCGCGGCCTGGCTCAAACCCTGCTATGATTATTCATATTCAGTCTCTATGTTCTGCTGCTAGCATCGAAACAATGTGCGTGCTTTATGTTTACCTTCCCAGTAGTCTTAGGAGAGAACAATGTTACTGTTATTTTTTTTTCTGAAAATGAATGCCTTTCGGTGGAGTCTTTTATTTTTAATTCTCAAGTTACTATATGACGTGTTACTATGTGACATGTTGTGCTACAATCAGCGAACGGTAATATTTCGAATGAGACGAGGATGTCAGTCGAGTGACGGTGAAAACGTTCGTTATTACAGACTAGTCAAGGGCAGTAAATGTTTACCTGCCCCATTCCAGAGAAAAAAGCAAGAACAAAATTTATGTCGTTGAAAAAGCAAACCGTCTGGTGCTGAACACTGTGAGAGTGAGGTAGACGGTATGGTTGAGAAACCATACCGTCTGACATTACTTTTTACGCAGTTGTTTATATAATGTTTAAAAAACGAGCTGGAGTGTTTTATCGGGTTTAAAACCACGAGGCGTAGCCGAGTGGTTTTTGACCCGATAAAACACGTGCTGCGAGTTTTTTGAACGGCTTCAAAAACATTCTTGGAAAAGCGTGTGTCAAGAGAGTTCATAACAATTATGCTTTTGTGAAAGTTAGAAATTAGCATACGAGAATTTTTCCAGATGTGTATTTCACAACTGTACTATTAATTTGGTGCAAAAGTAAATTTACTGTGTGAAATTTGTTGAAAGAACATTAAATATGTTCCCACCATTTGTTGTGTCAGTTTCTGTGTTGATAATTAATTAATATTCATAAGTCACGTGCAGTGTCTTTATATCTGATAAAACACCGCATACTAATAAGGATGAGGTTTATCGATATAAAGTCACTGCACGTGATGTATTATCTACCATTTGATAGGTTAATGGGCTTATGAATTATTAATGAGTTTTTGAAAATTACCTTTCAAGCTCGTAATTCCAAATCTCAATTTGCTCCGATAACCCCAATACTGCTGCCACATTGCTCAAAGAAAAATTAATGTCCTTCCATCCCACTACCATAGGTAGAATAGCTTTAGAGCTCAACAAATTACAAATAAAGTGACAGGTGGAGATTATCCACATAATGGAATGCTTAGAATTGATATGAACAGCCTCCAATGGCAAAATTACGTACGTGTACAATTCATAAGTTTGCGAACAATATCTTCTATCCAGGCAAAGTTATGGATTGCGACAACTTAATTCTGCTTGTAGCATTTAAGAAATAAGGTTTATCAAATAGGTGTAGGTTCATTTTCTTGAAACTTTTTTATATAAACCTTAATTGACGACCTGTATTGCCATCAATACATTAACTATAATTTTTTTACAATACATTACCTACAATTTATCACTTACGATACATTATTTAAAAAGAGTTGCTTACAATTAAATCCTACAATTATTAAATTATTTACAATGCTAACATTAATTGAATACTACATTACTGACATCAGTTACATCAAGTTCATTATTTTGAATATCTCTTTTCCTAAAACATGCAAATGGTATTTGGTTTTTTTTCAGGCTTGAAGAAAGGTATCATCATCGCCATCGCCATCGTTGCCTCGCTGTTCCTCGTTATTATTGTTGGGAACTTATGTTGCTGGTACTTCAGCACAACGATTTGTATTGTTGTTGTCTTCGGATTTATCCGAAAATGTCTATGCAAGAAAAATCCGGATTCAAAGGGTAAGTATTGCACGTTCTAATCACCTTTATGACTGTAGACCAATTTCAATCAATTTTGTGAAATGACTGTATATTCTAATTATTTTTTTGCTCAATATATGAACAAGTTCACCATAGGGTCACTTTGATTGAATTTCAAGATAGCATTTGGGTTTAATTTTCACTGTACGTGTACATCTGTGATTGTCAGAGATGTAATCAAAATTACTGGAGATAGTCAGACTTCTGAAACATCTACTCGAAACGCATGTTTTAATGTATAAAACAAAAGAAATAACGTAATCATCATTGAAAGAAGCAATAACTTTTTATGCAAGAAAAATCTAGCTCCTAATTTCTAGAGTTGAGAATCCCAAGATCAGTTCGTGGTTCATATGATAATTCTGTTTTGCCTTTGAATAGTTTGCTAACCCATACGTTGCCCAAAGCAGTGACTTGCATAGGTGTATATGGATTGATTATTAATCCTCTACAGTATAATTATGTACCAATTTATTTACTATGTGTTCTTTTTTAAAATGCTATTGTAAGAAGTCCATTCTAATGGA